GGGAGGGGGTCGACTTATACGCGGTATCGACTTATACGCGGGTATATACGCGGGTAACTCTGTATCTGTAATATAATTATATAATGAATAAGACCTGTGATACCGTAAAAAAACATACGAATGGAAACGATGTTACAGAGGAAAACATCGCGGCAAAAATAGAAGACGAAAACATCGCGGAGAAAACAACGCATGACGAAAATGTCGTAGTACAAAACATCGTGGGAGATAAGAAAGCGAAGAGAAAATGCACTGTCCTCTAAGCTAGTATTTAAATATAGTAAGTATGATTAGTGCAGAAACTAGATAACAGTAATGCGATTTCATGATATGTTGCTTTACTAATTAAAAATCCTTTCAAAAAGGATATCTTAGTATTCTAATAATTTCATTCGTTTCCCTTTAATTTAGACCTGGTATTAATTTAATCTTTAATTTAGTCTTGTGTATTAGACCATTCTCATTACGCTAAGCTATTTTTTATCAGTTAGATTATGAAGCTTAGTTTTACGAAACGCTATACATTAAAATGTATTTTTAACATACGGCATACTATTTTAATTACATAAATTATGTATAGAAGAAATATTTTTTGCAGAAGTAATTTTGAATTTTAAATATCTGTTTTAGATTACTCATTTTAGGAGTATATTTTTCATAATTATATAGTTTTCGGTATTGCGAATATATCATTATACCAAGTAATAAAATATTTTGCTGTTGCGAGCATAAACTTTAATGCTGTTTCTGTAGATTCAGAATTTAATGATTAAAAGTATCTTAAAATTTATGCAATGCTTTGTAATGTCTCAAAATTTGCTGTACTAATGGTAAGGAAATGGTGTATATATATATATGAAATTTGTTTACTGTTTTTAAATCGCTCAGTTTATTAAGCAATTACAAACTGATAAAAGTTGAAAAATAATTTAAAGATCTTACGTTTCGCCGAATGGCAATATCTTGAGAACTTACGGTGCGAAAGAAGCGTAGAGTATAACCACCTTGTATTTCATACAGTAGCAACATTTGCTACTTGCCCATGGTAGGGTCATGTATTGAATAAATATAACGCATAAATGATAGCGTAACATAAAATAGCATTAGTAAAGTCAAAAATTACAATTGCGAATACCAAAATAGTATACTTAGCAAATAAATATAGAAAAATCGCAAAACTGATCCATTTTATGCACCATTACAAAAATGACATTTTGCTTTTCAATAAAAAATTTGGTCTTTCAAGCATTTCCCACTGATTACAGTAAATCATTTCTGTACTCAATGATAAATTTTTAGTGAGCTTCACAACATCAGTTTGAAAACGTTTTTCAAACAGAGAAACGGCAAGCAAAAGAATTATTTGTCACTCTCCTTTTTTCGCATATGACGGCGAAGAAGACACGGCGTTCCTTAAATTACTTCAAGTTATTATTATCGCGTCTCAAGACCTCACTTCATTTCACTTCCGTGTCATCACAATTAATCACTTCCCCTTTTTTCAGATGAGCCATACCGGGCGAATAATTAAATCACGGAAAATCTGTTGAGTACCGCCTCAAATTAGTTTTCTAAACCCTGTTTTGCAAGGGAAGGATGGAAAGAAAAAAAAAAAAAAAGTCCTTAATAAAGTCGATTGTGCCGGCCAAACGGAGGTAATTAAGCTTTAATTACACCAATGCGCCACTGGTTGTCATTATCGTAAAACCCTACGAGTATGTCGAAATCGGCCCAGAAGAAGATAAATTGTGTGAAAAGTTTGCTGATAAAAAAAAAAAAAAAAAAAAAAAAAAAAAAAAAAACTCCTTGCTTAGAAACAATATCTAATATAGAATAGCTTATGGAATAGTGCGTGCTAAAACGAGTTTTCAAGGATATAAAATGGATTAAAAACCTCGCTTTTTGTGTGTCAATGTATTATCAGTCAGTCAATGTATTATCAAATGCGTTTTATTTCCCTGTTTAGGACAATCATAACGTTCAGGAAAGTTTTATGAGACAATGAGCAGTTATCATGCACTTCGCAGTTTTTATAGCAAGCCTTTGGAAACATGCTATTTTTTCCTTTTATGTTAGGAATCATTCGTAATACAGATGTTTAAATAGGTGTACATTTTTTACATTGACGCAAGAAATGTCATTAGCTGTTTGGTGACTAAATAGGTGCAAGATATGTCATTAGCTGTTTGGCAACTAAATAGATACAAGAAATATCATTAGCTGTTTGGTGACTGAATAGATGCAACAAATGTCGTTAGTTGTTTGGTGACTTTATAACAGCTTCAGCAAGCGCGTGATTTTACAATAATAGTTTCTAGGTATTCTATAGTTTTAAAAAACGAGGTTTAATTACTCGTAATTTAACCCAACTTTTATTTTCACCTTTGCAAATTCATAGAATGCCACTTTTGCTTCTTCTGAATTAAGAGATCGGAATTTATCAGGTATAATTAACAAACAAATTTTAAGTGAAGCGTAATTATTGTTATACTGCATAAATAAACATAAATTAAATTCCAAAAGGAAACAAAAGTACTTAGTAAGATATTTATAATTTTAAATAGAAGTAGAAAATGATAGTAAAAATTTACTGTGCTTTATGTTTTTGGTAAAAGTAAAGTTTAGGGTACCCCTTGGTGAAACTTGGCGATTTTTGGCGGTACATGGATACCAATTTTGTGCAATTCTTTGACTTGTTATTTTGGCTTGCGAAGCAGCGATTTTTGCGCCAAAAATCGCCGCTACACAAATCCAAAATAACAAGACAAACAATTGCACAAACTCTGTATCCATGAACACATGGACTTATTTTCACTTGAAAAAAATTCCCGAATTACACAAAAATGGCATTGCGCACTCCTTTGACTTTATCCATGTACACGTCGACCTATTTTCACTTAAAAAAGATCCCCGAATTGCACAAAAATGGCATTGCGCACTCTTTTAACTTTATACAAGTACACATCGATATATTTTCACTTAAAAAGTCAAAGGAGCACCAAATTCTACTATTTAGGCAAACAAAAACTACATAATCTCAGTAAAATACATTTTAAACCAAACAATAAAATAACATAAAAAAGGAAAAAACATGTTATACACTTAAGCATTACCAAAAGCAAATATTCACTTACCATGATTTTCGAGTTCGCTTCGTACACCCAGAGCCACGTAAAAATCAAAATATCAATCATACTCAAATGACTTTTTTCAAACCAGATACTCTTTCTGATCGAACGCTTCACATAGTGACCATCTGAACCTTTCTTCTTACAAACCCATTCAAATCCATCTAAACAGTTTTTACGTTCGACTAGAAGCATATCCTTCCTACATACAGGACACTTATAATGGCTACTAAGTAAACCTTCATTTACACACCAGTCAGTTAAAACTCTTTTCCCCTTTCGCTCCAAGAAACTTCAAATTAATTTTACTACATTCGGGCATTCTACTGTCTAAAGAATCAAACCAACAGACACCACAAAAACGCTTACAAAACATCTCATGATTCAAAATTTCCCAGAATCATGCACCCGGATACGTCCCAATAAGTATTCCATAACATTCAACTACTCAGGCTACCATAAATGAAACAACAACTTGGCGATAAATCAAACAACAACTTGGCGATACATCAAACAACAACTTCGCCATAATACAAGGGGTACCTTTTTTACATGTCTACTCTACCCATGTTTTTTTTACAAATATTTGTTATTTATAAGGGCGCATATTACTGAAGCTAAAAATAAATTCATTTATTAAACTTGATATACATAAAAATAAATTCATGTATATCAAATGAATTTAAAATTTAAACCCACGCATATAAAAAAAAATAATTCCTAGACATAAAATTTTAAGATCCGTTATATGCATATAAAACGTTAATCTCAAAGCGCAAGTACCAAAATGTACAAGTATCACTAACATTTTATAAAATTACCTTTATCTTTTTTTTTTTTTTTTTTTTTAAATTTTTAAGGCGACTTAAGCTTGCCTCTTCTAAAGCCGGAAGTGGTGGCCACTTTACTGTGGAAGCACCTAGTAGGTGGGGCACTTTAATGTTCTATGAGGGGCCGGACAATTACAGCCATGCCTTCTCCGGCATACGAACCTGGAACTTTCGTCATCGCAATAGGCTCCTCTAACCAATAGACCATCTTGGTGGCACACATGTTTATACGTAGCTGTGCAGAAAGAAATAATCTTTAATGCATTTCTTTGTTGTGGTTTTTGCTTGATAGTTTTTGATTTAAAAAATTGCTCTTCAAAAAGTTTCTTCATTTAATAAAATTTAATATTTCAATTGTAGTTGCGCTTGTAAAAGGAAAAATGCACTAAGAAGAAAAATTCAATATTTTATTCTCCAGGAAATTTAAAACCACTTGAAAGCATCCAAATATATTTTTATTCGAGAGAAAATATGTATCTAATTTGCATATGCAAATAGTATTTCAACCTTTAGAATATTTGATCACATTAAATACTTGCAATATCTGGCGCCTTAAGTAATCTGTCAACGCAGAATGTAATTCGAAAACATCGCAGAAAGAAACAGACAGCCAGGTAGAATGTTACCCTCAAACATACTGTCACATTTATGCTTTATTTTAAATCGGATAAATAAAGAAATCTTTATTTTCTTCTCAGACCTCTCATCCTTCAGTGTTGATTTTGAACTTTCCAATTCTTCAGTCTCTCCCTTGATTTCCTGTGACACGATATATATTTATTTAAAGAAACATCTGAAATTTTGTCTGACGGCATATTATTTAAATATTGTGAAATCTTTCAAAATAAAAGATATGAAGATTTTTATGTATTTATGTTTAAAATGATATTGTTGCAATTTTAACGTCAAGTAAATTTACTTGTTGTTCGGAGTTTGTGTTTTTAGGTATTAAGTGATGGTAAATGTAATAAAAATTCATCCAAGATGTTATTTTTATTTTTTTTTATTAATTTATATGTTTAGAAGGTTCCATTTCTTTCAGATGGATGCGAGAATAAGAAATGCGAGCATTATGCTGTATGTGAGAGTAATGGAAAAAAAGAAGCTCGTTGTGTATGCCCACATTCCTGCATAAAGGTAACTACATAAATCTGTTTCTGATCTTAAACTATCGTTAAGCAATTGCAAAATGATCTTAACATTCATAAACATTTCAAAGAATTACAGTCAGTCTGATAAGTTACAGTCAGTCTTATATCGCACATCCGTTTATTTCAGAAGACCAACTGTTTGAAGCAATTTTTTTATCTGTTTTATCACTGAAAGAAAGACAAACGATTGTTTTCCTTTCTTTCTAAAAAAACTGCAAGCTGTTGGTTTTTAGCAGCCAATCAGCTGTCAGCATCGAATCTCCCGTCATCAGTTATCATTTGTAACAGATAACAAGTTTCCCCTTTACATTGTAACGCCAAATCGATCTGCGGTGACTGGCTGTTTAATATCCTGTGACGAAGCTGATAATTGTTCTAAAAACATCTTCCGAAAGGTTTTGAATGTGTGATACGACATTTTGAAGTTTAATATTTTATTGTTAAGTTGTTCTGTAGTGTATTGGTCAGTATATCCATCTAGGAAACTGGAAGACTAGTAATCAATTTCTTACGAAGTCTTCCAAGATTTATTGTTTCGAAAACTTTTTTCACTCTACAGGCACTACGATGAATGATTTTCGTCCACTACACTTTCTGTGCATTGTTAATACACAATCTCTATAATCCTTACGAATTTCATTTGGCGAAATCTGAGTTAATTAGCCTTTAGCTTCCGGGGAATGTCAGTAATTAAAGATATTTATATTGCCTGATAGTGTGGTGCAGTGAATTTGCACTTCAGTATAGCAGACTGCAAGTCTCGAGTGCAAGATTTGTAAATAATACAGTTGATTTTTCAACTCTGATTCTTCAAATCTAAAACGTCTGTCGACTAAGAAGTGTATGTATGATAATGTGATAATTAGCACAGGCATCCCTAAAATTACAATTCCATCCCCCAAGTGTGCTCACCAGTACATGCTTGCATTTGTGCTCACCAGACCGCACTTAATTAATTAATAATTTAATGAAAATTACTTTCTATTTGAAGAATCAACCAAAAAATTTATAATTGTTTTCGTGGATGTTTTTTTATTTTTCTTTCTTTCTTTAGGTTTTTTTTTTTTTTTTTTTTTTTTTTTTTTTTTTTTTTTTTTCCAGATCGATACATTTCTTTATATAGCTATGTGTTTATGTGTAATGTATGAGGAGACAAAATAGAAGTTTGAATAAACGATATCAGGTTGCATACAAAATTACACATTAGGCAATAAAAAATAAACCAGAAAATTTTGAAACAAACAGGTCGAAAAAAATTAGTAAAACTAAAAAAAGTACCCTCCTAAAGAAAGAAGCATTCACTTGAATGTGTACAAATATACATATAAGATGTTCAGAATTAAAGAATCCTATTTAAAAAAAAAAAAAAAAAAACAGGCAAAACCAGTCATCATAAAATTACGACATTTTGCTGCTGGCTCAGTGAAAGCATTGAAACTTCTTTCAGAAAGAGAAAAAAAAAAAAAAAAAAAACATTGCTTACAAATATCGCCACCAGAGGGCATGTATTAATTTAGCGACACCATTACAATGGCTTTACAGTTTTACAAATTTTATTACAAAAAACATATTCCACAAGCTGACCATTAATTTCAGCTACCATTTGAAAAAGCAAGATGGTGTGTTCTGGGAAATATTGAGCACGTGGCGTGAAATAAGATCAGGTAAAGTTCTTGAATGGTCACGACCTGCCATGTGTTTCAAATGCCCCCAAAGCAAAAATTGCATGGATTGAGTTCCGAGGATCTGGTAGGTTACATATTACGAAAGGGCCAGCTGATGAAGCCTTCTTCTGTAAAATGATCTTTAAGAATATTCGTAACACGCTGTGTAATGAGTGGAAGATTGCATACAGATAGGCAAGCCGCCACTGGACCTGTAGAACATAACTCCTCGAAGAAGTACTGCCGAAAATAAATGATGCAGAAAATTCTCACCTTATCTTCACTTTTAGAGAATGCAATGCAATATCTGAGATAGCGCGCGGGATTACTGGTAGTAAAATTCGGCAGTTGTGAATGCCCGTTCAAATGAAAATGCGCTTCGTCTGTCCAGAGAATATTCCAAGGCCATTGTGAATCAACCTCAAAGAGAGCAAGAACATCAAGTGAGAACCGAAGTCGAGCTTCAAAATCATGTGGAAGCAACCACTGCACCAGTGAAATTTTGTAAGGATAATACCAGGGGATATCCCGCAAGATCTTATGGATAGTTAAATATAACCTATCCAAAGCCTCTGTTACACAACAGATATTGCTGCTAGCTTTGAAATTTTGAAGCTGCTTCTTCTTCCTCCTATGCAATATTTACTCAGAAACGGTTTTTCCTCTTCCCGCGGATAAACAGAAAACGATCCTGTTTCTTCAAAATTCATTACCATTTTCCGAAGAATTTAATATTCATTGGACCTCTTCAAAATCCCTCCAAAGTTCGAAGTTTCTGTAGAGTAGCTAATGAGAAATAACTGATTTGAGCAAAACAATTCTGCTAACAAAGTGCGATCTCGTTAACCTACCGTCATTGTGAGCAGCAAGCACAAACAAAATCTTCTCGAATATTTCTAGGTTTTATAACAGCTGCTGCGTGATGTCGATGAAGATTTATGTTTTTACCGCTGGTTTTTAAAGTAAAATTCCCACTGATGACACTCTTTGTAATTAATGTATTTTTTAACTGAAAAACATTTCCATCCCTTCATTAAGTCTGCCACAAATTTTAAGGAGTTTTTGATGACTGGTTTCGTCTGTAGGCAGCTCTGAAATAGGGTTCTTTAATTCTGCATACCCTGCACACGTCTATTATTTTCGCACTTGAGTACTATTCCTGATTATCATTAAAATAGTTTATAGCAGCTCAAATTATTCTATTAAGGCACTTGACGAGGAAAACGAATAAAATGAATATCCTTAAGACAAGGAGCTGATGAGACATATATGTTTTCTGCTAGCTAAGACTTTTATTTTTGAGCAAGTGAAATTTTTAATTTACGAATCGTAGTAAGAAATAAACGACGAAATTCATAGTCATGCGTTTAATCAAATGTTCCTTTAATAAAGAAGGATATATAGTATAAATAATAGTTACAGCCAGCACTAGGCAACATACAGATTGCTTCATTCAAGCAATTATATATTGTATTAAATCTATATAGGGAAATGAGTAAATTAAAATATTCAATAGCTTTTGTTCATTAATGAACTTACATTGTTATATGCGTATTAAATTTATTTCAAGTCATTTTATGCAAATATCTGCTTTAGCTTTACTCATTTGGAATAATTTTATTAAACTGCCGTAAATTTAAATGCCGTAAAAGAAGCTAAAATATTTTTATCTTTCTAAAGATCGTTTAAAACTTCTTTTGCTGGAAACTATTATTTCGTTAAATAATTGCAACAAAACTCCCGGGAACACATGCTTTAAAGGTGGAAAGCTAAAAATCTTGTGAGAAATATGATTTAGGAATTAAATATGAATATATTTTGGTAATGATAAAATTGTGTTTATTTATTTCTATAGGTATTGCAGATAAATACTTCTGCTGGCCAAGCTATGATCTCCATTGCTCACATTTGTTTTGAAAGCTTCAGACTTCTTTGCCGTCTCTTGAATTTGCATATTTATAAGCGCAATTATTGATAGAAAGTATCAAAATTAATTTAAATGTTCGTATAATTATGTTATTTAATAAAATCATTGATTCTTTTATGTCTTCAGCTTGGAATATTTGTAGATTCTTATGTTCGTAAAGTGGACAGATTCTTTCTTCACTAAAGTGGGCATTAGTAAAGAAGAATATTTTTTTAAATTATTAAAACGAGCAGATTAGTTTGAAGATAGCCTCGCTTTATTTACATTACTTTATTACATTATGTGCGGAGAATGCATTAAAAACGACTTTAGAAGTATAAAAACAAAAGCCTGGAGAAACTACTAATGTTTTAGAGTGAACAAATAAAGAAATCAACCATTTTATTAAATACGTAGCATATTTATACTAATAACTAATTAATTTGTTTGATAATTGCTATTGATATTTACGTTTAGAAATATTCAAATACAAAAGACGGCAAAGAAATCCGAAGCTTTCAAATCAACTGTGGAATCTGGTAGGGGAGATTACAGTTTGGCCAACTGAAATATTTATCTGCGATACCTAAATAAATATATTTTTATAATCATCAAAATGTATTCAGATTCAATTTCAAGTCTCGCAAAATTTTGCGAATTTAAAAATATTTAATTATGAGTTCTAATACATGTTATAATTCTTTAATTTAGTGAATAAAATGAATTTACTTCTTTTCAGATAATGCAGCAGATAATTTACAGTTTCGATCTATGCATGAACCATTAACTTTTGCATACTCATGAAAGCCTTACCCTTTTATATTTCCTTTAAAATTATTGAAGCATGTATAAAAGTGCATTTCAGATAGCGTAATACGCATCAGTAATTTTTCTTTGAAATTAGCTTACAAGAGGGAATATTTTCCCCATCAGACGGCAAAGCAAAATTATCTTACTCTTGATGGCGAGAAACGAAGCATATTTCTTGAAGGCTTTTCTTTTTGGTTTCTCGCATATGAAAATCAACCACGTGCACACAAACGCTTGTAGCTCCCCTAATTAATCTTCTTTCTTTCTGTTTCAATAAATATTAGGCTTATATGTTGTCATGAGAGAAATAAAAAACATCAAAATTGAAAATTATCTTCAGCGGAAAACTTTCTTTTTATGTTTCAAGTTTATTTTTATCCAGGTTATGTTTCTGGTAATCCTTTCTCTATTTTATAAATAGGTTGTTTAATTATGTTCAGTGATTCAGTATCCAAATTCATCTTCATTGCTCCTAATTTAATTTGTTTTTTTCTTCCTTTATCTCGTATTTTATGTATTCAACTAATTTGAATTAAATATTAAATCTCTGCTTGAGGTACCAAGTTTGATGTAGGAATTTGATGATACATTTTTAATGGAATAAAA